GCCAACCTGGGCTACTCAAGTATCTCCCTAAAACATTAACTGCATATGCAATATCGGGACGAGTACAAACTTGAGCATACATTAAACTGCCAACAGCGGAAGCATATGGGACTCTTTCCATTTCAGCAGTTTCTTTATCATTTTGAGGACATTCAGATTCAGAGAGTTTATCACCCTTTTGGACAGGAACAGCGCACAGGGAGCAAGACTGCATATTAAAGCGTTTAAGGATTCTCTCAATATATCCTTTTTGAGATAAACCAAGAACACCACGTGACCTATCACGAAAAATTTGGATGCCTAAAACAACAGAAGCATCACCTAGGTCCTTCATATCAAAGTGGTTACTTAACATTGTTCTTGTCTCATTCAAAAGACTAACACTAGTGCTAGCAAGAAGGATATCATCGACATATAACACTAAGATTATAAAATCTCTCCCACTGGTCTTTAAATAAATACACTGATCTGAAGCATTTTCATTGAAACCAAAAGAAGTGACAACTTTGTCAAACTTCAAATACCATTGTCTAGATGCCTGTTTTAATCCATATATGGATTTTTTCAGTTTGCATACTAACTTCTCTTTTCCTGCTTCAATAAAACCTTCAGGTTGAATCATGTAAACATCTTCAACAAGTTCTCCATTCAGAAAAGCTGTCTTCACATCCATCTGGTGAAGTTCCAAATTAAAGTGTGCAACCAAAGCCATAACAACTCGAAAAACATCTTTGGTAGAGACGGGTGAGAAAGTTTCTTTGTAATCAATCCCTTCTCTTTGACTATAGCCCTTTGCCGCTAGTCTGGCTTTGTATCTATTAATTTTATCATCAGGATTACGTTTAGTTTTGAAAACTCATGCATCCAATGGCCTTGCAACCAACTGGTAACTCTGTGAGATCCCAAACACCATTAAGAGACATAGAATTTAATTCATCATGCATAGCATGCAGCCAATTAGAAGCATGAGAACAAGAAATTGCTTCATTAAAAGTGGTTGGGTCATCATCATCATGAATGTCAAACTCATGCTCTTGGAGATACACAATAAAGTCATTTGATATTGTAGGCTTTCGAACTCTCAGAGAACGTCTCAATGGAACAACTTCAGTAATGTCACTTGGTTCAGCAACACCAATAGGCTCTAGGGTATCAATTTGTTCATGCTCATCTATTTGTGGTGACACAACTTGATCATTATTTTGAATTACTGGAATCACAACCTCATTATGGAAAGGAACGATTGGTATAGGGAGAAAAGTACGATCTTCTTCAAGAGTAACTGGTCGTGGCGTAGAGAGTCCACTATCCAAATCACCCTCAAAGAAAATTGCTCTATCAGATTCAACGACTCGTGTAGAATGAGAAGGACAATAAAATCTGCAACCTCTAGACCCAACACTATATCCGATGAAGAAACCACTAATAGTCTTCATATCAAGTTTCTTCTGTTGAGGATTGTAATGTTTGACTTCAGCCTTACAACCCCAAACATGAAAATGTCTTAAAATTGGCTTCCTTCCTGTTAATAGTTCATAAGGAGTCTTCGACACTGATTTACTAGGCACCTGATTTAGAATATAGACAGCAGTCCTCAAAGCATCACCCCAAAGAAAATCAGGCAATGACGAATGACTCATCATGCACCTAACCATGTCCATAAGCGTGCGATTACGTCTCTCTGCAACTCCGTTTTGCTGAGGAGTACTTGGCATAGTGTATTGAGCCTCAATACCACATTCATCTAGAAATCTAGCAAACGGTCTCGGATTTCTTCCTCTTGAGTTACTATGGCTATCATCTCATCCACAGACCATTCAACTTTCTGAGTATTATAGGAGGTCCGCATAACATCAAATTGGGGAGGCAGAGACTCAAGAACCCTCCAAATTAAAGTGCTCTCACCAATTTCAACTTTGAGAGTTTTAAGCTTATTATAATAGTGGACCAACTTCATAATATGCTCACGCACACCACTAACACCATCATACTTAGTTTTGTCAAACAGAGAGAGATACTCACACTTCTAAGCCTTATCAAACGAGTGAACTTCTCACCAATAGACTTCAAGTAATCTTTAGCACTCTCACTTTCTAGTATGCTTTGTCTTATAGATTTTTCCATAGTGTAAGATATCACCTTAAGGCACACTCTATTGGAGTGTTCCCATTTTTCATAAAGGGTCTTTTGAGCTTCAGTAGACGTGTCAGTAATAGCGTCCGACTTTTCAGTTCTCAGAGCCAAGTCAAGGTTGGCTATAGCCAAATAAAGGTCGAGAGACTCTTTCCAGTCCTCATAATTGGTCCCATTAAGAGTTTTGACAGAGTTAGGAAAAGAGACTGTCATGGAGGAATAAAGAATCATTAAATAAATGATTATGTAATATAGAAAATTGATTCCTCATATACCAGCCAAATATTTTCCTAATATAAAAAAAACTCTAACTCATTAGGATCTTGCATCAAAGATACAATAATAAACAGAAACTTAAATTAACAAAATTTTAATATTGATAGGATATTAAACATGATAAAATAAGTATAAATTGTCAACATTATTTTGTATCATAACAAAATTACACTAATAACAATATACCGATAGGATATGATAATTATTAATATAATACAAATCATAATTACAAATAAAATTTTATTTATTCTGAATTTATATCAATAATAATATATATATCGATAGGATATACTTATCATTATTATAAATAATTATTATTAACAAAAATTAATCACGTAATTACCACACAAGAATTCATAAAATTATACTCACGATAGGTGAAATTATAATCATATGAATAAATAATATGTATTTTTAACAAATATAATAATTATTTTATTGTATTAATCAAACATAATAATTATTAATATAAATTGAAATAAAAGACTTCTTGGAAATAATAAAATATAGTATTTAAATGATACCATCCAATGATATGCTAATTTCACCCAAAATAATTAATATTATTAGTTTTTAATTTTGTGGACCACGTACCAGCAAACTATCCACCAATTACTTAGGAGAACAAGTCCTAGCAAACTATCCACCAATTACTTAGGAGAACACGTACTCGCAGTAGGGAATTGAAATTTGATCAATAGTTTGTTCATGTATTTAAGGAAAATAAACTTGACTCAATATTTTATTCCTATATTTATGGACACCAAATTTTGAAAGAGTTCATTCCTAATTGACACCGAAATAAATTTATCCGATAACAACTAATTACGTTGAACAAAACATATGTATCAGTATAATTATTCTGAAAATTGCATTACTATCAGAACGTGTTTAATGAATCTATAAACTAATAATCAAGTATAAATTCATTGAATCCAATTTCAATTCTCGACTCTGTCATGAAAAATACGAACATATGCAATTTTAATAATTACAAATGTATGATTATAACAAATAGTTGAATCCATAATGCAATAAACATGTACCTGTCATGGTTGAATCCATTTGCCTGAGTGTAAACTGAGAATGCTACTGCCCTCTTTTTGATGGAACGGTTAAGCTTAATTATCTGACCTAATGGGATAGTCAAATATATAACCACCAGATGAGGGAAGGGACCTCTCAGCGGGCTATCCAAAAGAATGACCCAACCCATTACGGGTCATTCAACAATTAAGTCCAATACAATATTCATTTAATTAAATAAATGTTAATTGATATAATAATTATATATATAATAAAATAATTAATTAAAGTAAATCCATTATAGATTTAGCAATTGGCTATGGTCATCACCCTTCCGAAGTAGTCATTAACTGACTCCTCCTGTTTCATAGCCAACACTTCGAATTCTCGTCGGAGTCGATTGAGCTGAGCACGCCGGACCCGATCGTTCCCTTGGTACTTCATCTTCATGGAGTCCCACAACTGCTTAGAGGTGTCCTTCTTAGTGATGGTTCGTAGAATTGATTTGTCCAAGGATTGGAACAAATAATTCTTCGCCTTCAAATCCTTAAGCTTCAAATCATCCAGGATCTTCTTCTGCGCATCTGTCTGCACTTCTCCTTCTCTAGGTAGCGTGTAACCGTTCTCCACCACAGGCCAATATTCTCGGAATTTCAAGAGATTTTCCATGACCATCTTCCAATGATCGTAATCTCCAGCGAATTTGGGAATGGAGGGTGCAGAAAATCCACCATTCTTCTCTTCGGATCCCATATTCCAGACACTCTTTTGTTGCACTCTCGTGAGTTCTTTTCTCTCGCTCTGATACCAGATGTTAACAAATCTGATAACTGAGATATTTATTAGAAAGTAATGCTACTATATAAATAGTTTACAAAAGAAACTGAATACTTCCTAAGTAGTCCTAAGTAGTGGCGAGGAAGTAGGGCCACTACAATACTAGACTCCCTACAATTTAGACATAATCAAAGGTAACAAACTGCAAGCACGATTCTCTTTTACAATCAGTGCAGACTAAGTCAAATAACAAATAACATTTAATAATAACCTAACAATTAATAATATCCTAACAACTTTCAGAAACACAAATACGCGAGCGAAGAGGGAAACGGCAAAAACCTAACAATTAATAATATCCTAACAACTTTCAGAAACACAAATACGCGAGTGAAGAGGGAAACGGCAAAAGAACACGTGAAATGACCTGAAGCATACACTGTGCTTTTATATTAGGTCGAATAAAAGGGTTAAAACACCAATTTTATTATTTCAAATTGCGGATAGCGCTTACAGCCCAAAAGCGTCGCGGTGAGGTCCGGTTCTGCTATGCTATGCTGCTATAGCGCTATCAACAACCTAGATGTCAATGTAATATTTTAGAGTAGTACCTTGCAATTGTGTACAAATGAACATTTTTCTTTTATCATTCTTCAAATAACGGGTATACAAGCTTAACCACATTTATTTCAATATGAGTAGTTACAAGATTTTTAAGATTATATTGTAAATAGCAGAAGTGCTGCAAAGACAAAAAAGAATCAGGGCAAATTTATCTCTGATGTCTCTCAGTTCATAATCCTGCAATTTAGTCTCACCTCTCCATTATCAAAGCCTCTTAGATTTCCGACTTTCAACATTGAGGCTGCGAATTCTTTGAAAAACAAACTCTGGTCTCTTGCAAATGCTTCTACAATCCATCTAGTTCTGTAATCGCCAACAAGTGACTGATCGGAAGAAAACACACCTCTTCCAGCCAGCAGTTGTTTGTAATAATCATTATCAAACACTGATGCTGTTGAGTCTAGAAATTGCCCTGCGTTTCGATTGTTGTTTGGTTTTGGACATTTCTTTCTTAGGTCCAGTGCAAATTCAGTGTCCAACCTTGGATCAATGTAATGCAATGAACTGAAATTATGAAGACGAGCCTCAAAGGAAGAACAATGCGAGAAGCCCAGAGTGTGTCCTCCAGATAATGTCACCATATCTTTAACTCCCAACCCTCTCTTAGCAAAGCTCTGAATGAGTTGGTTAACAGTAAAGGTCGGGGCCGGTAAGTTGGCGGTATCAGATGCCTTTGATACCCTTCCATCTTTCCGTCCTTTTAGTACATTCCAATATGGACCTCCAGACTGTCAGAGCAAATAAGGAATATTAATAAATAACTTTAGCAGGTCTAAATTAGCTTAGAGACAACGGTACTACCATGGTCACCACATCTCTCGCTAAAATAGCGAGTATATCAGCACAGGAAACAGTGCCGGGGCAAGCCAACTCAAGCTTTGCTTTAGCATCATCAATAACATAGAACGATCGAACTGAGATATTAGGAGGACCGTCTTTCTCTGCTTGGTTAGTGGCAGTTGAGTCCAGCAATATTGATGCATCACATCCCTATTATTGAACATTAAACATTACAAGAAACACATTGGTCATAAAAGAAAAACTTCAAATAGCATGAACATTGCATGTGCGCGCGCATGTGTTTGTTTAAAATGAGAGATTGAGAGTTCATACCCTTATAAAACAGTCATGGAAGAACATCCTCAAAATACGCGCCGGGACTTTTGGATCATGGATAGAAGCATTGAGAACTGTCTCTGAAATTACTTTCTCCAATTGTGGACATGTTTGGTCATAGTAATGAGCATGAAGTTCACCTTTGGTTAATGAAAATATTGTTAAGAGGAAGAAAATGATTGGAAGAGTCTTTTCTGCTAGCAGAGAAGCCATATGATAAAGAAGGTAATAGCTTGAGAACTGGAAAATGAGAATTAGATGAGAACTTCATGGAAAGATGTATTAAGGTATATATAGGATTGAAGTTAACAATTTCAACAAACAAAGTACATGCTTAACTCAGATTTATTGTACTTTGAAGCCACTCAAAGATTGAAATATTAGCCTAGAAGTACAGAATTTAGACTTCCCCTATGTTCTTCTGCTTTAAGACCTGGCTAGTATATATCAATTCACTTAGACACATGTCTTAAGTAAATATTAATCAATCAAAAGTATAACACAATTTGATAGTGACTATGTCAAGGGATAGACTCATAATTTATATATCAATATCATGCTGTATTAATTATTATTGATCAAAGACTGAGAGGATGTTAAGGTTTTATTTTCCTAGTAAAATTTGGTTTTTCCCTAATTCAGGTGTACTGCAAAATAAATGTACATTATTTTAATAATGTTAGGTAACATGTTGCTTAAAGGACATCTAATTTGGGTGGTTTAGATAAGGAAATCAAACCATTGCTAAACTGGTCAAGGGTTCTGCTCTTTTAAATATTTAAATGATTACTTCCTCTAGTCTCAAATATAAGCAGTAAAAATGTTATTTTTGATGACATTAAAAATAAGCAATAGTTAAATATTTATATCTTATTTAATATTATTATTCTTCACTTGATTTTTTTTAAAAACTAGTTTTTCATAAGAAAAATATAATTACATTTTTATTATTTTGAGAAAATTAAATGACATTAATTAATTTTCATACGTAAGTAAAGTTAATTTTCTTTTTATATGTGAGATTAGAGAATCTCCTATATAATAGACTTAAAGAAACAGACTACCACCAAAAATACATACGAGCCGTTTTATTATGGCTTTAAATTTTGACACGTCTTTAATTTTATAGGCATCACTTTTGTAATAATATTTTATTTATAAAATAAAAATTTGTGACACAATTATTTTGACTATTAAAAAAATTACAATCATTTAAATTTTACAACAATATTTTGTGGAAAACAATTTTACACATTATTAAGTATTAATATTTTATTTTTATTTTAATATGTAATTTTATTATATTTTTACGTTAACTTTACACATTACTAAAAAATATAAAATAATTTTAGTATTAATCAATTATTTTAATTTAGTAATTTATTTCTTACGCATAATTAATGTATATTATTAAAGTATTTATAAAGTTAATGTTTTTAAACATTTTTAATATAAAAATAAGAGCAATTGTAATATATTATTTATATTTATTTTTACACTTTAATGTTTTTCATATTATTTTTTAAGAAATGAATGCTTAAAAATGACATTGAGGTGTACAATTCCTACACACAAAAAGTTGTGTCATTAATCAATTGGGTACTTCTAATTTTTTATTTATAAAAAAGTATATATGAGATAAATATTTGTGATTAAAATAAAATAAAAAAAACTCTTATTTGTCACTTCATTTGATATTTATAATTTCACTTCACTTTTTCAGACTGTTTTTTACAAATAAGTCACTAAAAAGTATTGTTAAAAAAGATAAATGATTGTAATAATGATTTTTCATACCCACTACATTAAAAAATTAGAAGTATCACCCTGTTTTCTTCCATTCATCCAAATAAAACATATATTTATTATTGACTTATATATATATATATATATATATATATATATATATATATATATATATATATATATATATATATATATATATATATATATATATATATATATATATATATATATATATATATATATATATATATATATATATATATATATATATATATATATATATATATAACCTCACTGATACACCTAAAAGTATAGAACAAATATTTATCACAAATAATGTAAAAACTATAGAATAAATATTTATCACTAAACAATAAAAAATACAATATAAATATATGCCATTAACCTGAAAAACGTAAAACAAATATTATTTAATGATATATAAAATAACACGGGAGAAATATTTGTCAATTATAAATATATTAAAAATATGAGACAAATATTTTCGTTGATACATAACAAAATATAATAAATATTTTTATTAATTAATATAAATAAACATGAAGCAAATTTATTACCGGTAAGTATAAAAAAAATACAAGATAATATTTATCCTTAATAAACATAGAAAATAATACTGAATATTTAATTTATAAAAAAATAAATGATAAATTTGCGAACCACAAAATTAAATTGGCAAATGCTAATCTTAATAATTTGATGAACTTAATCAAAAATTAAATTATAACTATTCACTCAATTATAATAAAAGTCATTCGATAAAAAATATATATTCTATCATTAATTTTATTTATTTCAACTATTTAAATTAAATTTTATACCATGTTATATTTTCTTCTTAACCAGATATATTGCTAATTTTATATTTTATTAACAATTAATTATGATAACACATATATCTATAACGAAGCTGTGCCAGAATCGCACGGATATTGCCAAGTAAGTTTTTGAAAATTTTCTGATACTCAGTAGTTATCTTTATACCTTTATACAAATAAAATATATATATATATATATATATATATATATATATATATATATATATATATATATATATATATATATATATATTATTTTTTTTTTTTTTAATTTTATTTTTTACTTCACTCTCTCTAAATACTTCGGAAAATCAAAATTTTCTCGCTGCAAACCGGAACATGTTGTCCATGTTTTCCGATTCACAGTTTGCATACCAAATATATTAAATAAGTGTTTTGATTTTTACAAATTACCCAAAATTCATTAAAAGACTTCCGATTTTCAAAATGTAAATGGAACTCATTAGAGTTGTCTTCCGATTTGATCATATGTTTATTGGATGTCTCCTCAAACGTGTTCTGGTTCTTGGCATTTTTTTCATACCAGAATTTTTTAAACATATGTTTGATATTCAAACTAGTGATAATAAAAATTACTTTATTTTTTATTTCAATCTTTTTAATCTATATTATCACCTTTTCTTGGATACCAAATTTTTAAATAGTTGAAAAAGTATCAGAAATATTTATACATATTTGATTTTTATCGCATATTTATGAAAAAATTTTCATATCTGCAACATAAAAAAATTGTAAAAAAACAAACGGGATAACTTCATGATATGAGTTCCAGTATACAAAATTAACAAATCGGATAACTTGTTAAATGTGCTCCGGTACCTAAAAAGTATAAACCGAAAAACATTAGTGAAATGTTCCAGTACAGTTTATTTGTTTCCACAAAACCAGATCTCTTTTAATATGATGGTTTTGTGATATATCGGAACTCTTTTAATAAATTTTTCAAAAAAAAAAATATATCGGATCTCATCTTAAAATTGTTTCGATGCAATTATAATTTAGTGCAATTTTCTGAAGTCTCAAATGAATGATAAAAGGTAAAATGATAAATTGATTAAAAATAAATAAAAATAAAATTGGTATTTTGTTTAAAATGTTGAGGTATAAATATAACTCTAGGATATGAGGTAAAAAAGTTTAAATTTTTTATCTCAGATGTGGGAATAGCACAAGCCAGCCAACCAATCCTGTGATGTGGCCCAACAATCTCGAGGTCCAAACTTTTTTAGACACACAAAGTTAAGACTTTTTTAAAAGTCTATAAAAACCTTTTTTTTTTAAAATTTTATTTCACACCTACAAACTATAAAAAAAAACATTTTTCTATTATTTAACTTTACCCCAAAATTGTTTATATATATATATATATATATATATATATATATATATATATATATATATATATATATATATATATATATATATATATATATATATAGGTTTTGGAAAAAATTTCCGTAACAAAAACTATACATTGAAATACTTGTAAGAATATTTTTTGGAATTTATCCAAAGCTTAATCATGGTGTAAATTACGTTTTTCGTAGGAATTTATACACTAAAGTTATGTTGAGGAAAGTTTACACACGGTTTAACCGCGGCTAAGATATGATTCTTTGAATTAACCATCAAATATTTACACGTAACATCAATATTTATTTAGTTCTCGTGAAGGTTTAGAATGTATTTGAATGAAATATTTTAATTAAAAAGATAATTTTTTTAAAAAAATTAAAATAATTTGAGCTAAATTTATTATTTGGATAAAAAATATAAAAAATTGTTAAAATAATTAAAATTTATGAAATATATTATATTCAAGTCAAATTTAAGAAATTTCAAATGACACAGAAAAGTAAGTGATCTGACCTGATCAGAAGGGGACTAAGGACTTGCCACACGCCGTTAATTTGCTGTCTGTTCACCAGTGTTGAAAAGGAGATGGGGGGTGTACCTGTAAGACACTCCAATGCCAAAGTATGAATTTGAACAGAGTGACAACAAATATAGAAAGGGGGTAAAAAGAGAGTACATGACCCTCTTGTGAAAGAGGATATTTATAGAGAGACCCCAACGCAGGGTCAACGGTCATTTAAGTTGGACTGGATGGTCAGACCCAACCCAAGTGACTGCTAGGGCTTACGTGGCGTAGTGAAGACTAAAACGTCGTCTTCGCCTTAGTTCAACTGATCTGTGAACTCCAGAAAGTAGGTTGACCTGCTCTTTCGGAGGTGGGCAGTTGGTGGATGACGTGTCCCCGCGGAGGGGAGCACGTGGATAACGTGTGAAGGACACGTTGTTCTGCTCGACAAGGGAGGAGGTTCTTCCCGCGGAGGGACCATTGCCTGCTCGACGGGAAAACTGTGCTCGACGGCTATGGCTCAAGCTGGATTGGGCTTGACAGAATACCATTGGGCTGGGCCTGCCCGGTCAAGCCGAGGCCCAAGCCAGAACAGGAGCCCCCTAAGTCGCAGCTCCGATGGGGGGGGGGGGGAGCGAGGACTTGATGACGTTGTGTCGGGGAGGAGAGGTTAGCCAGAGGAGAGAATCCTCTGACTCGTATTATGCAGGGACGCGAGCGCGTGAGTCCTTCCTCGTCACCGGATG